GACCATTCTGTGATTCTGTGAAGAATGCCGAATTTTGGGAGCGAAGGGGTGAATTGAGAGCCACCTACCTGAAAACGAGTCCGTTCGCTGGCGTATTTCTGGTAGTGCAGCATCGCCTCCAGTACCTTTTTGTGGCCCCCGGGAACCAGGCACACAGCGCCCATGATTTCCAGCACTGCCACCTTCGTCTTAATATTCTCCGTGCTCAGACTCTGAGCGATTACATTAATACTCTCCGAATGGGCCAGGACGTGAGCCCGGCCCAGGGAGTTGTTCATTAGTGCTTTTATACATCCAATGAGCGAGGTATGTATTCGAGACTCTGCCGTCTCATAGTCCATGCTTTTGAGAAAGTTCAGAATACACGATAAGCCATCCAGGTCGATGAACCGGGTTACAAACCTGCCAGAAAGAGGCTTTTTAGCTTTAAAACCAAATGCTGAAGGACTCTTTTAACCTCAAATTGGGCTGACTCGTCTGTTGCTGTAAACCCAGAACCTTCTTATCCATTTTCTCCTGGACTTTGGGTAGCAGAAAGCCTGCAAGGCTTAGAGCACAGGGATGAGGTTGCAAACATCTTGGCAATTTAATTGGTGCCTGGTAGTGTAGGCAAGCAGGCATCCTCTGCACAGTGTTGTCCAGAGCTAGGATATTTGGAAGAGGATCAGCTGACCCAGCCACCAGCACAAGCCCCAAGGTGGAGGTTAGGAGTTTGCAGCCATGTTGCTGCAAAACCTTCAAAGCCCCTGGCCTGAGCCTTGAATCTCACTCACTTGGGACCAGTTTTGCCCAGGATGGGAAGAAGCTCCCAAGCCCTGGAGTCGCCTCCTCGTCAGCTGCAGACATCCCAACACCAGCCGAGCCCATGATGCCTGTCAGACTTTCTGCCTCCTGCCTCACCACCCTCATCCTTCTCCTCCCTTCGGCACATCTCACTAAGTTTATGGGATTTCTGATTTTTATGATGACATATAATGCCACTAAATAGAAAGCAGACAGCAAATGCACGGCAGTGCCCCAGGCAGATTCACTAGTGCAGGCAGACATAACACTGCACGCTGCTCAGGCATTTTAGGACCTCCCTGCCCAATGCCATCCAGGCTGGGTGTATTCTGGTTTGGCAAAAGGCATAGGCTTGGAAAGCAAACGAGCCAAGAAACATCCCAGCACTGGGATGATTTTAATTCGAAACAAGCCACGCTGATGCGCAGTAACAAAAGGGGTAATTGCAGGCTCGGGGAAAACTGATTTCTCTGCTTCAAAGCCTGCTCTTCTTCCAGCCAAAGTCAATAGGCAATTTGATGTTTACTTCCCTGGGAGCAAAAGCAGGTCCAACAGGTAAAATAGAGCCTGCTGCATCCCTCTGACTTCCAGTAAGAGAGACTCGCAAACTGCTTTTAAGGACTTGCAAAGTTTCACGGTTGGGTACCACCCCCCTCTCAGGGCGCTGCGGGGAGCCAGCACCCAAGAGGTCCGGGCTTCATAGAAACTGGGTGCTCACCCTCAACCCTGCTAACTTCTTCCCAAGTACCACCACCAGAACCATTGCAAAAGAGAAATGGAAGAGGGGAATGTTTTCGCAAGCACTAGCAAATTTGTTTCTTCCATAAGCAGAACAGGTCATGCATTTCTTAATGAAACATCTTCCCTTCAGAAAATGTTGACCTGAGGCATCTTAAAGGTTTCGCAGATATAAGCATGCAGACTCCAGAGAAACTGAATGTAGGAAAAACTACAGACATTCAGAAAGAGTCCCACCCTTTCTTTATCCTCCCCATCAAATCCTCCTAGGAACATTTTTATTTTTGCATTTCATAAAAGCCTGAAGATTCGTGTGATTTTATTCCTTTAAAAAGTGCAAGAGAAGTTGTGGCAACAAAGGGGCTGGTTGACCAACAAAAATTAGATTTCTTTTAAAAATTCAGTCTGGAAGGAATTTTTACATTCTGTTCCAATGAGAACAGAAGCAAATTGGAAAAAAAAAAAAGTCGCCTGATTTGCCTGAACAGATGTAAAAGTCCTAGTGGTTCTCAGCCACTATAAGGACCGAGGAAAAGCAACAAAATGGCAACTGGTGAACTGAAAAAAGCAAGTGGCGTTTCAAGGTCCCTGCTTCCCTCATCCTGTGCAGCCCCCATTTCTGTTCCTATGTAACTCCCTGCTCTGCCAGAGAACTCAAATCCACAGCCATGACCGCAGCGATAAAGCCAAGAAACAGAAGGGAATTGCCTCATTGGTTTCGTCCGCAGTGCAGTCTTCAAACTTTCGATTGTTTTGTTTCTCTCCTCCTCATCCTCTTTTTCCAAAGCGATCAGTGATTTTCTCTGCAAGAGGAGAAAGGCAGATTTGAGAGGGGATGTTCCCCTGTGCAGCTCATGCCCGAGGAGCTGGAGCGCCCAATGCCTCGCCGTGCCAAGGCGCAGGGACAGAGCTGGGACCTGAAACCAACTCTAGAAGTCTAAAACTCCATATCTTTATGGCAATCACAGGACTTGGGAAAAGAGACAGCTTGGAAAAAACCCCCGTGGTCCGCAGGGGGATGGCCAGGACTGGGGACAGTGGGGTGAACGTGTCGCTTTAGGCTGAAGACGTTGCCTGCAAGCACCCCAATAACTCGCTCACACAGGTAAAATTCAACTGCAAGTGTTCGGGGCTTCACAAGTCAGCAACACCCCAACCCACATCAGCCTTGCAGCAGTGTTGCTGATGGCCTTGTGTCCCCCTGGCCACTTGAGTTTTGTTTTGAAGCAGCAGGAAACAAACATGGGCCGGTGCAGGAATCCAGCACCCTCTTCCTCTAACTGGTCCTCAAACCTCAGCCTACCCTGGCAAGATGCCAGGCTCCACTGCCCCGAGACGACTGGGAGAGCTGGATCGTCACCTTGAGATTACACACTTAGCACTGTCCTGTGTCATGATTAAGTTCCAGAGTTAACGCCCTACAGGCAGGACAAGTGTCACCCCACACTGCTGACCTGCAACTCATCCAGACAAGCCCATGTTGGAGGATGCTCGTGACTGTCCCCCCGCGACCCTCAGACTCAGAGCAGCAAGAAGAAAAGGCTGCAATGGAGGAAAGGAGCATCCCAACTCATGGGCTCTAGATGCAAATTCTGGAACATCCCCTACAGCCCACAGCCCTCCAGGAAATACGCTTTGTAAAAGGAAGAGGTAAGGAAGTATTCCATAAAAAAAGTGTCTGGCTGAACCCTGCTCAGAGACACTGCAGGTGACAGCTGGGTGATGTGATGTGCTTCCAGGGCTGGGGAGGTCTACACCAATACTCACTGGGGGTCAACAGAGGGAAGGTGCTGAATTGGGACAGGGAGGAGGGGTCCTTCAGCCTCCCCTGGTACCCATACATCTCAACAGGTACTCATGTGCCCCTGCAGAGGAGGTGGGGAGCTCAGGGGATGCCCCGCAGCCTGGAGGGGATGGGATGCTGCAGCCATGCTCAGAGCCACCAGGGTGGGTCCTGCTGACCTCGTCACTCCCAGGTCTCCCAACGCACCCCACTAACATGCATCTGGGCTGGTGACAGTGGCTGTGTGCACGGGATGCCCTTGGCATATCCCACAATGGGAGATGAGTCTATCAGGCTGGCACTGGGGGCTCTCGTGCCTTCACCCTGGCAGCTCCGGGCATGCACAGGGTACATCTTGCTCACCCCAACTCATGCAACCAAGGCTACAGCTAAAACACGCTGGGTGCCTCCAGCACCATCCGACTGTGACGAGCTCTTGGCAGTGTCAGGGTGAGCCCTGCCAGCACCAGCCAAGGCTAAAGCAAAGGAGGGTCCCAGCAGATAAAAAGAGCTGTGCTGACCCCCACATTTAACCCAGCTCCCCTTCAGCAGCCTGTCAGGGAGATCAAAGCCACCCTCCAGGCATCTGTCAGGCTTTGATCACAAGCTCTGCTCAGGCTCAGGGCTTTGACTGGCTGGCAGCTTGTGGCCAGCCCTGGGCATCCCTCCTGGCTCACAGCCCCCTGCTCCCCTCTGCCATCCCCACTCTCCCACCTAGCACTACCTTCCCTGTCACCCTGGCCCTGTGACAACAGGGCAAACATAAGGGGGAAAAAAAAAGAAAAACAAGGATTTTCTTTTTCATTTTCCATGCTGCTGCCATCCCTAGTGCAGTGGCCACAAGCCTCAGTACCTTCAGCCTCTGAGAACAGGAGTCAGGATGAAGGGGCTCTGAACCGTGCAGCCTTGCAGGAAATAAATTGTGTTTCCTACAAGAAAACGGTGCTATTTCTGTCTCACCCAATCAACAATGAAGTATTTAATACAATTACATATAAGCACGTTTCTTGTGGGACAGTCAACCCGCAGCACCATGTTTCGCCGCGGCCACCTGGCACAGAAGGGTGTTGCAGGAGCAAGGCATCCATGAAGAAGCACAGGAACTATTGGATTCAAAGCAGTAACAGCAGCTTGGTGCCCCACCGGCACTGCACAGTCAAACGGAGTCTTTAAAAACCAGCCTGGTGGCTTTATACCAAAAGCTGGTGTTTGCCACCCATGCCGCCGCATCCCAGCCTGCGGCAAGATGAAATGCCCTTCCTGCCATAGAAAACGCCTCTGTTTTCCAGCTGTATCTGTTGGTCTAATGGAGGATATCCTTAAATCCTTGCATCAGGGGTTTCTGAACTGCTGAGCAATTCACGAGCTGCTGCCAACTCCAAATCGTTCAAGGTCTGGAGACTCAAAAGGCTGTAAACAGCCAGGTCACAGCTTTGTGGCTCTAACACTCGTCACCCTCCCAGGTGCGACGCTGGCGAGGCCGCAGGCTGTCACCGCTGCGCTGCTGCCCCGTACGGTGTTCACAAGGGCCAAAGCATTGGGGAAATACTTACAGCAGCCATTGAATTCAGCTGATCGATATAAAACTCTGGCCAGCTGGTGGCTCCTTTATTTTCTTCCTGGTCCTGGATGAGGGGTGGAAAATTGAAACAAAGACAGTGGATTAGTAGAAATAGCATTGACATCTTCTGCCCTTCATGAGCAACCACCTCTGAAGTGCTCTTGAGCTCTTGTATTACTTTATTTCAATATAAGCTCGACTTTGTCATTCTGAGCCCATCTCCAACAGCTCTAGCTATGGGAACATTACCTGATTCATTGAACTAGCATATTTTATACACAATCTAGGTTACACCATCTGCCTGTGACCAAACTCTGCCCCAGTGATACTGCATCAATCTTGTGGTTATCAGCTTTGGAGAAACCACACTGAAATTTTACATCCAGATTTCTCTTGTACTGATTCTACAGGGCCCTTGTAGTTTGGGCTGTCAGCCTTGACGGTTGTGCTTTGAGGGGAAAAAATATCTCTTACAAGTAATGAAGAGTGAATATATGTGACACGAACTAGGCTCCACTCTTGGAGCAGGACCATGACTTACCAATATTCTAGGAGAGACTCCAGGCACAACAGAATTCCTCTGGGAGCTTTATTAGATTTTAGGAGGGAACATGCACCTAGCAGTGTCCCCTGTTAAAGGATGTCACCACTGAGCCCACGATCCATGACACTGAATGCTGCAGAGCCTCACTTGGTCGCCGTGGTCTACAATGTCCGGCATGTGGTGGGACTCACATGAGGTTGTCAGGTCTACCACGATCTTGTAGGACCTCAGCCCAGCTCAGATAAATAATGCTGCATGTCCCCAGGGACTGCTTAGCGCAAGTAGGCAGATTTTGAGGGAATACTTCACAATCAACCCTCTTCCTCACTGTATTTTCCTAAAGCTTATACCAAAAGAAGAAAAGGTATTCACAGTGGAAATACCACAGAGGTCTAGGCTGGAGTCAACTGATATTATGCAAAACCCAGACATCTTCCCTCAGTAACCATCTGCTGCACAGCTTTGCCCCCTCCCTAACCTTAAGAGATGTTTGCAAAGGTCATCCTACACCGCAGTCGTCTGCGACGGTGGGAGCTGAACCTACCCTTCTGCCCCCACGCCCACGCATGCAGACAACTACCGATCCTCCGGCGGATTTCAGCAAACCCAAAGGAGCAGAGTCCCACATATTTACTGTGGTTCAAGGGGCATATGTGGTAAATGTTTGCACATCCAAACTTCTCAAGCTGCTGTTTTCCAAGACGAGAACACACGGAGTCAGCAAGAGGTAATGTGGATGCGACTCAGTTCCCCCACCAGCAGTGCAGCTCGTCCCTGCAGACCTGACCCTTTGCTGTGCCTGGCTCGGGGATGGGGACAAAAGAAGTTTGAGAGCAACAAGGGACGTGACAACCCGTGCCCTTTGCTTCAATACCCTGGGTTGTTCTCTGCTCCTTCTCCTGCCAAGAACTGAGGTTTTGAATGAAACACCTGATTCACCTGCCCTCCATATTTCATTTTTTTAAAGCAGGCGAGACTCAGCAGAGAGGGAGAATTTTTCTGAGACACTAAAAAAACAATAAAAAAATCTGCCCTACCAGTGCTAGTACCAAACCTAATAAACCTGAAGGAGATCCCACTGCCTGCCTCTGCATGGACCGAGTATCATTCCTAGTCATGCTCTGACCATTAGTTTTTGCCAGCAACAAATAAAACCATCCCTGTCCTGTCCAAATAGTGCTTTAAAAGAATGTTCATCTGCTGGCTGAGTGTGCAACACCCACCCTGATGGAGAGAGACAGGGATGCTGCTGGTCTTTTCGCAGCCAGGAAAAACAGGATGCGCTGGCCTCTCTCTGTGTTTTGCTCCCCTCCTCCCTGCCCTGAAAACTCGCCTCCAGCAACAGTAAGAGGACAGAGGGGCAGAGGTGGGACCTGAGACCTCTCACTGTCCCCTGGCAAATGGACTCAGTGAAGCGATCCTCTCCGAGTAAGAGGGACCAGGTGGCTGCCCATCCTACCACATTTCTGATCACGTCTGGGACCACATGCAGCCACCTGCCAGCATCAAGTCTGGCCACCTGAAACCACAGCCACGGGGACGTTTCTGCTGCAGGGGGGGAAACCAATGCTTTCCCCAAGGGCTGGGAAGAAGACCCCCATTTGCATGGTTAGTCAGAGCTTCCCACTGCTGGATTGTGTGGAGAAACACCTCCATGCCCATGCCTGCAAGAATCCCAGCAGCCAGAGTATCCACTCACACAGCCTGCCAAAAGACATCCAGGTTGTTGGAAAGATTCTCAGGAGCACAGAGGAAGTGTCAGGGAGCTTGAGAAACAGAGGTATAATTTATATTTACGAGTCTAATGGAAAGGCACAAATTATACCACCAAGTATAGCACCAAAGGAAGGTCTCCTGAGTGGGGTGGGAAAAGTAAACCATCATATTTTGCAAACTATTTGTCACCTCAGGGAAACACACACCATTCCTGCAACCTGTGGGTTAGAGCCGTCAGTTTAACCCAGGTGGGACCACCAGCCCCTGGGAGCAAGTTGGGAGCAGGATACGGGGGAACTGCCTGCGGCCAACCTCCACGGGGACATGGGGATGTAAGGTCAGGCTGCACCTGATGGCAGGTTCAATCTGCAAAGGACTGCTGGCATTATTTTACTACACCCAAAGGGCAGTTTGAATCTGTGAATCTTGGTGCTAGCCCCTATTCAGTGCCACCCACCCATCCTGCTGGATAACCCCACAGTCATGGTCCCTCAGCGGTGTCAAGCAGTCAGGCTGAGGCTCAGGCCATCTTCCTGCTCGGTGATGATCCTGACTGACACAGGCAGCCAGATCTTTTTGGTTTCTCAGTTCACATCACACACCTCCCTAAAGGACTCTCCCATCTGCTCCCCTGTGGAAAAGCACACCCCTCCCTGGTACACACAGCATCCGTCTGCAGGCATCAGAAACAGCAGAGAGCGCACACACGTGGCAGAGGCACTGAAGAAGGCAGGGATGCTGGGGAGCTGCGAGCCCTGTGCAATCTGTCTGCCAACCTATCCCTCCAAGCCATCCTACCCTCTGCCACAGGAAGGCTCTGCATAAATCCTGGGGGCAAAGATTTTGATTTTCCCAGCTTTCCTGCCCAGCTTTAGAGGTTGCAAACAGTGCTCCAGGCGATGACGGAGCTGGGACACCCACATGTGCCTTTAACATGATCCAAAAAGGGAGGAGCTCCTGTCACCTCCTGAAGACATCACTGGAGGTCCTCCCCATCACCCCAGGGTACCAAGGAGCATCCCTCTGCCACCAGTGCTCCCATCAGCAACACAAACTGGGAAGGGTGGCAAGGTCCTCACCAAGGCATAGCACCAAGAGGTGTCCAGAGGCACCCAGCCAGGAGATCTGGGCAGGGAGGGAGATCCATGCTGAGGAATGGGGTGGGAAGGCAGCAGGGCCGGCTCATGCCATGTCAGAGTGGTGTGAACACCTGTGAGGCAGGCAAGGATCCGGACCTGCTGCTTGTTTAGCCCTGAAAAGAAGCATTGGAGCAAAAAAATAAAGGTCTCCAGGGGGTGGAGGGGAGGCTGAACAACAAAATTGGCTAAACTGCTCATTTATAATTAACGTGCTGTATTATAAATATTTCCCTTTGCTCAGCTCCCTCGGGCCCTTGCATTTCCTCCCTGAAACCCCCAATTTAGAGAGCACTCTCAATTATGTGCAGCAGAACCTCATTAATTCAGATGAGCAGCCCGGCAGGCTGGTCGGAAAGCAGCTTCCCAGGCACAATAAAGCAGGCAAAGATCAGGGCATAGGCTTCCCTCGGCTCGCTGCAGGACCTTGCCCAGTGGTAATTATTGCAGCTAATGGTCTGCGGCACACTGATCAGTGTCCTTTAGTGCAAAGAAATCTCCTGACAAAGCGACAGGCCCGGAGGGAAGTGACTCACAAGGCTTTGCTGAGAAGCAGCAGCAGCAGGAGGAGGAGGAGGAAAGAAGGAAGGAATCCCTCCGGAGCACCACGGGTGAAAAGCATGAATTTGTAAAATGGTTTCCCAACACCCGGGGTGGGTTTTGGGGATGTGAGTTTTGCAGCCTGACTTGGACGAGGGATGCCCAGACATGGAGCTGAGTACCACCAACATCAGCTCTCCAGGATGCTCCATGGCATCTCACCCAGCTGGCACCAGGGACACAAACATCTCCCAGTTTTTTCTTCTCTGGACTGTTTGCTCTCTTCTTGGGAAGCACAAAAGTGAGGGCTGATCTGAACCCCACCAACAGCCCAGTGCTATGCTATGGCTTACTATAAGCTGCTCTTTGAGGCAGGCTGATGGCTGTAATTACACATGCAGGGACATGTATCCCTTCTCATCTGTAACATTTGCATCAGCATCCCTTGTCCTTCAGGAAACGGCCATGACAGACACACGTGCACTGCTGCCAAAACTAGGAAACACCAAAGCTGTGCATCCAAGGGCAATTTTTGCCTTTGTTTCCCATCTGCTTCCCCCCAACACCCACATTTTCCTTCCACGAAACCAGGAAAAATACAAATCACACCAGCTGTGGCCCCGGCCCCACTGCGGTGCGCTCTCCTCACCTCTGCCACCCCTTTGCCCCCACGCTCTGTGCGTGGGGCTGGTGGATGCTGCAGCACAGAGGGGCTGCTGGCTCAGCCCGTGGTGGCACGAAAGCAGGTCGCAGGCCAGCCTCAGCCCTGGTTGGGCACTGTTATTTACTCCTGGAAGGTGCACCTCCATGAGCTCTTGTCCCTCTGATTTGCAGGGATGCGGGTGCAGGGAGCAATGCACCCTCCTGCTCACAGCATATCCCCATGGTGGTGGGGAGAAAGGCACCTGTAAAGCTCTTTGCTTCCAAATCAAGCTGCTGGTGACACCTTTTAGATGCCCAGCCTGCAGGAGACTCCACCTGATCCAGCGGCCTCCTTCCCACACTCACAGCCCATGGTGGTGGTGATGCATCTGGAGCTGCTCTGGGCTAACTGGAGGGTGGCTGGCTGGATTTCCCAGCCACCTGACATCCAACACACCAGGTGAGATCCTTCAAGGTGAAACCAAG